GTATTATTTGGTGTCCATATCTTATTTGTCCAGAGAAAAGAAAATTTCGCTTTGTTAATTGATTGGTGCCCGCCACGTTCTCATAAACTCTCAAATGTGCCCGTAGGCACAAAAGGGTTGGGGACCACTGCCCTACGCTATTCAGAATCCAGTGTCGAAGTGTTTATTTAATTTCCTTACAGGTTTCGTTATTCACTTTAGACAGAGAGGGAGAAAGAATTTAAACACAGATGCATTTCCAAGTATAATTAGTTAAGGAGCAATTTGGCTGCGGAAGGAAACAAAATAAACAACCAAAGGGGCAGTAATTTATGTTAATTAAGCTCTGGATAGTTGAAAGCACACAGCATTCTACATTTACTTCTAGATATTTGATACCAACTTGCACCCTGCGAGAATTTTTACAGCTATCTAAACTGGCATGAGTTCAGACACCTATAGTTCGCCATAAAAAATGTGAAAAATGACCTTGAAGTGACCTCGAAATTTTCAAACGTCCATACAAGACGCCCCAGGGCTGATATTGTCCTTCACTTGACATGTCCTTGACAAATCCGTCAAATCAATTTGACATCAATCTGGTAATTCAGAGATCTATAATTCCGAGGAAATAAGCATGAGAAATATTTTTTGAAACAATCTGTAAAAATTTAAAATCTTATATTCGGCAAGCCCTTGGGCTGATATAGTCGTGACCTTGAACACGCGTGACCACAATTTGACGTGAAAATTGTCATTGACAGAACTATGGTTCGGTAGAAATAAGGATGAGAAGAAACGAATTAGAAATGACCTTGAATGTGTCAAATTCATGTTATAGCCAAAGCTTCGTGCCGATACTGTCTTGACCTTGACATGAAAACGAATAGTGAAAATTTGCTTTTACTACTTGCGAATAGCATGTTCTTTGACATAGAATTAGATCTAGACACAGGTTTCTCATTATTGTAATTAACAAGTATGTGAATGAAATGATTATGCCTTTATAACCAAACTTACTTATTCGATGGAGTAGATTTATTTTTGACAATCTGATAGTCGCTTAACTTGTCAATAATCTACCCATTTTTTTATAAAATCTGTTTGCATTGTTCATAAGAGTCTGTCACTGGTCCATATTTTTAACCATATACATTTAATCTACAACTCACAACAACTTTGAAATATATTTTAATATTATCCTCTCAATACATATTGGTCTTCCATATGGTCCATACATTTTAGATTTTTGGACGAAATACTTTTATGCATGTTATATTTTCACACGTCATGTGAAATGGCAAATTACCGAGGACAAATGCGGACATGTTATATTACATGAAGTCAGCATTAATATGTTCAGTCTTTTCTTTACACTTCGAAAAAGATTTCTTTGAAGTGCTAATTATGATCGTCCATGCATGTGTCAAATGTCTTTTTCTGTG